TTCGTACGGTAAGCAACTAAGATTTTCATGAAAAAAAAATGTCTTATGTTGTGTTTGGTAAGCATATAAGCTAGCTTATAGCTTATTTGATTAACTTATAAGCTTCCTATATTCATATAAGTTCGGTTTGGTAGGACGAGTTTTTTTTAAAAAGCAGAGCTTATCTCATAAGCTTCTTAGATAGCTTTTCAAATAAGCCCATTGAAATTTTTATTTCAGCTAATTTTACCAAACACTTTTATGATATAAGCTAACTTTTCAACCACAAGTCAAAAGATATCAGCTATAAGCTCAAAATTTACTTAAAAGTTATAAACTAGCTTATTAGTTAGGTTTATCAAATATAACAATATACACTTTACATTCGTTATTCTAACTTGAACTTACCTCACAAGAGTGATGGAGAGAATACGAGTTATTTGAAATTTGGCTATAAGTTCGAAAAATGCATTTTTGCAGGGACATTCGTTCTTTATGCTGCCGTGAATGCCTTAGCCATACTCTTTGTGATTGAGTTTGTGCCCGAAACAAAAGGTCGAACTTTGGAACAAATCCAGGCTGCAGTGAACGCGTCGTGAAAATAAATAAGATAAAATGAAATGTTTGTCGACCGGGATTTTTATGTCAACTGTATTTTCACATTTTTTGGTGGATGGATGTTTTTTTTGGAAGGTATTATATGGCAAAATTTGTGAAATTAATGTTGTATGCCAAATTTGTGGATACTAGTATGTAACCCGTTCGATGCACGGGCTAGTTAATGTTTTGGAAAAATGTAAAAAATTAAAAGGTCATTTATTAATAAGCTTTTATAACACGTATAACATTTATAAAGTAAACATAAAATTGTCATTGGCAAAAAATTATACATTATTAAAAACCTTTGAGTGCATATATATCGCCTTGCTTAAATACACCTCGAAATGCACACATATACGCAGAACGTATAATGATAGTTATTTGCACACCCTACAATATAAAGTTATACAAAATAAGTTAAATTAAAAAATTATGTATGTTAGTAATACAGATATAACAAATCAAAATATTACCTCACGATCTTGAAAAATGATCTCAAAAAAATTATTGGATTCCACGTCAAATTTCATCTCAATAATTAGAATTGCTTATTAACAACATGGAGTGTATCAAATAACTCTCTCATTTTTTTTTTAATATTTTCCGAAAGTTCTATGCATTTTTTTATGGACAGAAATTGGAGAAGTTGATAAAATATGTTATTTATATATATAGGAATCAATTAATATATATTAATTTCAATTAATTTAATTGTTGAGAGTGGCTTTTAATTACAAACTTATTGAAAGGGAATAAAAATTGGATGGTGTAGGATTTTGGGTATTTTATAGGAATGTAAATATTAATCTTTACGTCCAACTTTAATTAATTGATGAATTAAAATATTAATATTTATTTTTTTGTTGGCAGACTCCAAAAAATTGCATAATATGCGGCCACAAAATGTATCTTATGGATTTGTACATTTGTTTTTTATCGTGTAGAAGATATATTCTATTTTTGTATTAAATCTGCAAAGTGTAAAACGTGTTGAATAAAGCAAAAACGCATATATGCATTTGGTTCGTATTGATTTATTTTTCTTTTACTGTACATATTAGTATTCTTTTTTGATTTAATTTTCGATACCTGAACGAATTAGTATTGTTTTTTGATTTAATTTTCCGACATGGAAGATATGATTTCCGTTTTACAATCATCGGCAATTTCCGTTTTACAATCATCGGCAATTTATAGAGTTTTTTAAATATATTTTTATACTAAACGATTATATATATATATATATATATATATATATATATATATATAGAGAGAGAGAGAGAGAGAGAGAGAGAGTTTTAATAGATATATAGAAACATATTTAATTCATTATAATAATTGATGTACGTCATTAAGCTTAATCTTTATAGAAATACAGTTAATTAATGCAATTTATTATAGAAACAAAAATTTATACATGCATAAAATATTAATTGATTATAGAAACACAATTTATAGAAACACAATTAATTAATTTATAGAACACAATTTACCGAAATGAATCTTCCAAATGTATTATTATATTATTTAATTAGTTGATTAATTGATTAAACTTAATATTTTTTTTAAGCGCATAAAAGAAAAAAAGAATTCGATATTTTATTTTAAACAACAATTGGAACTCAATAATTCAAGCGTGTAAATATTACTTAATCTAAACGAATGAAAGACGTAATATCACGATAACAAACATAATAACACTAAAATTCATAGTTCAACGACATTGAATGACAAAAAACATAATAAAATTAATAAAACAATAAATATATTAGAAGTAATAACCTTCAAGGACATGGAAGAACAATGAAATTCATAATATAAATATATTAGAAATAATTTTGATATTACTAATGAAAATACTTAACTGTTCATCATGAAACAATATATGGAATGCGTTCCAGCTCTCCCGTTTGTGATGCGTTTCAATTATTCGGACTGCTTTCAATCGCAAATAAGGTTTGTTTGTCCTACTCACGGAATCGAGTGTATCCCAGACCGGCGGCATTATATTACCGATGTATTCTAAAATTTATCTATATAATTTTTTTTTTTTCTCTGAACGCTGTGAATGACGTGAAGAAATAATCGTGGTAGTGAATATCTTTTTATACAAATTGTTGTTTAGCACGTTAGTACCTAAAAGAGTGATTGATGAAAATTATTTAAATAGAAAGATATTGTTAAGATTTTATCATATAAATGATTTATATGGAGCCTTGAAAGAGGAGATTTATTATATGAAGAATTAAAAAGAGGAGATTTATTCCATAGTATCTGCAATTAATGCTTGCTGTTTTGTTAATAGAGCCACAAAAAATCGAAAATCTTGGCGTGAAAAAATGATTTATTCCATAAACAATTAATGTTAATCCGAAATAAATAAGAGCAATTTTAGGAAATTATGTGCAATTAATGCTCGTTGTTTTGTTAATGGAGCCACAAAATGATTTGTTCCAGAAATAAAAATTGGAGATAATGGCGTAAATGATTTATTCCATAAAAAAATTTATTCCATAAAAAAGTTAATGTTAATCAGAAATAATTAAGAGCAATTTTAAAAAATTATGTTAATAACTATTTTTAGGCTATAATTAATGAATTTGGAGGGAAATAGTTTCTAAAATTGAATTAAGTTAATCTTTATTATATATTAATAGATTTGATGACGAAAAAGATGAATAGTACCATTGAAACCATCCATTTTTATTTTATGCTATGCGAACAAGTGTTTTTTGTTGCTAGTTTTATCATATTTGGTGTTTTTTTTAAACGATTGAGCATAGAAAAAAATCGGACTTTTGAGACAAAATTACAATTTTAGTCATGTTTTTTTATCCAGTGGCGTTTTTAGTCTTGAGAGTTGAACATTTTTGCTATTTGGTCCTATACTTTTAAAATTCAATGTAATTTCAGTCCTTTGAGACTGAAAATACAACAAAATTCAAAATTATGGATGAATTTATGATTAGCAATTTAAATCTTGAAATTTAGGATTTTGATGTAATTTCAGTCTCAAATGACTGAAAATGCAACAAAATTCAAAATTACAGGATCAAAAGACAAAAAGTTAAAATCTTGGGACTAAAAATATTAAATTACAGGATCAAAAGACAAAAAGTTAAAATCTTTGAACTAAAAATGCTACGGCGTTAACTTAGCAAGACTAAAAATGCAATTTTGCCGACTTTTGAGCAACTTCATAGTTAACTGATTCACATCAAAATTTGTAATTAAGTTAGTATTAGCATTATTTTTGTACATCATTTTTTACTTTTTTTTTTAATCTCTTTTTAGTACTATATTAATGTGCCGTACTTAATTTATCATTGTAATATAAAAGGAAATGTTCAATTTAATTACGCATATCAACCGTAAGGCAAACGTAGTCACTCACCAATAATTTTATAGGTGGTACAGTTCAAATTTACAGCCATTAAAAATAAAAACAAAAAAAATAAACTTTATGTAGCTATCTAATAACGACTACTATCTAACTTTTGTCCACATTGTGTGGTGCATTCACTAACTTCAATTCGAAAATTTAAAATAAATTCGATGTCACATTCTTCAAATGTATATATAATCTTGAATTTGAAATGTAAAAATCAATGCCTGTACAAATTTGTGTTACCAATGTTAAAAAATAATACTAATAAATAATAATCCAAATGGAAAAAAAAAAAGTCTTCCTAATGATCAACTCTTCTACTAAAATTTCAATTTCTAAAGAAAAAATAAGTGAAAAAAAGAAGAAAAAAGGAAAAAATAATTAGAGTGCATCAAGAATGTGTTTTCCATATACACTTTGTTGGAGATGAGGAATGAGTGATCTTCACTCTCCTCTTTCTCTCTTGTCCAATCTTCTTACTCGCGCATTGTTGAGGACTATCGGTAACTTTGATTAAGTCGACTTTCACTATGTGATGATCCGAAGTTCCCTTGGATGAGATCACAGAATACGAACCGGGAACAAATTTGTATGGCGCGTTTGCAGACGATAGTATATAATCCACTCGTGTTCCGTATTTGCATGTCCCTTGTACGCCTGAAAAATACACGATGCGTGACTTAAACACAAAAGTTACATCCTTTAAAAAACTGAAATGTCATACTCTCAAAAACAACATAAGTAAATCTATTTTCATTTTTTTTAAAGAAATTGTTGAGCACGCTTCATACAAGAATTTGTGTATATAGAAAAGTTTCGAAATCACAACCACCCTTTAGAAATTCGTGTTCGGTTTGCAGTTCTTTGGATTTTTCTAGGTTGGTACTTACTTTGACCTTTGGCGATCATAACAACCGATTCACATTCGCCCGCATAGTATTTGGCATCTACATATCCATTACTCTTGAGATACTTCATCACCTCAACCTTAGGTGTCGGCTTACCCATTTCTTCATAGTACTATCATATTCAAAACGAACACGTTTTTCTCAAAATTATAATTACGCGAGACGAAAAACAATCAAGAACAATATTGCTATAGCTGATCAATTATAGTACGAAAAAAGTTGTGTTTTCCGAGCATTGATCACCTTCACGATATCCGTCCATCTCTCGTGCGAGTAATCCGTCTCATCCAACGAATTTAGGCCTCCGGCCAAAATGTGTGGAACTCCGGTTGATTGGATTATGGCATTTATTTGCTTCATTCTCCAATTCTCATCTAGATGATCCAAAAGTGTGCAGAAAAAGTTGATTTCTCCAACTTGAGGAACATCAATGGTGGCTTTCAATACATTCCTGCATTTGTATATTATATATATTTCTTTTAGATGGCACATCTTTTTTTCTCTTTTTTAACAAAAATTGAAGCTGTAAAGTTGCATCTTTTATAGTAGTTTGTTAGTAATCCAGCAAATGCATTACCAGTACACATGCATAGATTCTGTATTTTTGTGAAAAAAAAAAAAAAAAAAAAACAGCTAGCTAAAGTTGAGTGGTTAGTTCTATAAAAAGGAAATGTTATGGTCCCGTTACAGTACCATCCCGTCGGGTGTTTTAACTACATGTGTATCCAACGGTTCAAATATCCAACGGGATGGTACCGTAAGGAGACATTAGCATTTCTCGGTAATTATTACTCTGTTTTGCTCTTTTCATGTAAGCCATTAATGACTTCACATAAATGATCTGTGCCACTCTACAGTTTTTCCTTCATGCATATTCCCAAAAAGGAAAATTAGACTGAAATTTGCAAACATACAAATAAAGTAGTCCCAAAAAATATATAAAAAAAAAAAGAATCTTGCAATAAAAACATAACTTCATTGATATTTACATTGCATATTTTATTATAAGAATAAATGAGTTAAATATATGACTACTTTATTAAAAAATCAAACTCAATTCTAAAATTACTTTTCCATTTCTCTCATTAAAATTCCCAAATAATTATTGATAAGTTTTTAATTAATTTATTCCCACCAATTCATAATAATCAAAGCAAAAATAAAAATAAAAAAAGCAAGAAAAACAATTTCTTACTGGAA